TATATATATTTGAAAGGCAAACCTCACATATCCAAAGTAGCAGAAAAAACTAGAATTGGTTTTCAGGAAGTTAACATCCCCTTCTCTCTCATGATCTCCGCCGCCGCCAAGGCATGTCTGATCACAGCAGAACCTCTGCCAGCTTCTCTTATCTTCTCTTCCTTCTCCTGCTTCCAGCTCTCCTACTGATCTCATCGTCTCCTCTAGCCTCCGCCGGCAATTCTTTGCCGCCGGCGGCTGAGAAAGCAGTCCTCGTAGACCTCAAGCACTTCCTTCTCCGACATAATCCGGTCAACCGCGGCCTCTACGCCGGCTGGAACGAGTCGGAACAGGTCCCTTGCCGATGGGCGGGCATCGCCTGCGATGCGGAAGGCCGTGTCGCCGGAATTGATCTCAGGGACTCGAGCATCTCCGGCGGCATCTTCCCCGACTTCTACCTCCTCCCTGCGCTGGCTCGTCTTGATCTCTCCTCCAATAATATTAAAGGCCCCGTTCCGCCGGAGCTGAACCAATGCCACGGCCTTCGGTATTTGAATCTCTCGAATAATTTTATCGACCGCGAGCTCAATTTAACTGCTCTAAACCTACTTGATACACTCGACGTCTCCGTGAATCGTTTCGTTGGTCGGGTCTTGGAGAGCTTCCCGGTGAATTGTGGGAATTTGGTTTCTCTCAATATTTCGTCCAATAAATTCACCGGCGATATCGGGAACTACTTTGACGGATGTCGCGGGAAATTGCGGGATCTTGATGTGAGCTTGAATGGATTTGGACGGAAGATATGGATGGGGTTCTGGTGGCTGAGGGAGTTCTTGGCCACGGATAACGGTTTCACGGGAACGATAGCGATGGAGAGTTTTCCGGTGGGTTGTAGTCTGGAAACCCTAGATCTTTCCGGCAACGGGCTTAATGGCAGTTTCCCGGATTCGATCGCCAACTGTTCGAGGATGGTGGCATTGAACCTTTGGGGAAATTTCTTCACCGGAAAGATTCCATCGGGTATTGGATTGCTTTCTGAACTTAACACTCTTTTCATCGGCAATAATAGCTTTGATCGGGAATTGCCAGTCGAGCTCCTCAATTGTCGGAAATTGGTGTTTCTCGATCTTAGCAGGAACAAGTTTCGCGGAGAAATTCAAAGAATTTTGGGGAATTTCACCTCGCTCAAGATTCTACTACTGCATTCAAATTCATACAGGACAGGAATCGAGGAATCTGGTATCCTCAAGCTTCCAAATCTTATCCGCATCGATCTCAGCTACAACAAATTTTCCCGGGAGTTGCCCATTGCCTTCGCCGAGTTGCCTCAGCTAGAGTTCTTGACGCTCGGCTCCAATGATTTCTATGGTAAAATTCCTCCCGAGTACGGGAGAATCGCGACTCTTCAAGCCCTCGATCTGTCCTTTAATCGGCTAAGCGGTGGAATTCCCCCGCAACTTGGGCAATTAACGTCGCTGCTCTGGCTCATGCTCGGGAACAACCAGCTTACTGGTGAAATTCCGTCGGAGATCGGCAATTGCAGCAGCCTTCTATGGCTGAATCTGGCAAATAATCGGCTCTCCGGCAGACTCCCGCCGGAGATCTCCGGGATCGGACGGTACCCTTTCCCGACTTTTAAGAAGAATCAGCTCCACGACAGCATCACGCCCGGCTCCGGCGAGTGCCTATCGATGAAACAATGGCTCCCGTCCACATACCCACCCTTCAGTTTCGTCTACGCGGCCATGACTCGCCGGAACTGCAGGGCGAAATGGGATCAGCTCCTCAAAGGTTACGGTGTGTTTCCAGTTTGTCTAAATGCCTCAAAGCCAATACGAACACTAGACAGCACCGGGTACCTCCAGCTTTCCGGCAACCTCTTCTCCGGCGAAATCCCATCGTCAATTACCCAAATGGATCGGCTCAGTATCCTGAACATCGAAAACAACAAGCTCTCTGGTGAGCTCCCACCGGCGATAGGGCATTTGCCTCTGATATTGTTGAACGTCGCAAACAACCAGTTCTCCGGAACAATTCCAGCAGAACTCAGCGAGATCCAGTGCCTTCAGATCCTCGACCTCTCCCTTAACAATTTCTCCGGTGAATTTCCGGCTAGCCTCAACAACATGTCCGACCTCAACAAATTCAACGTCTCCTTCAACCCTCTCCTTCACGGGATCATTCCTATGAGCGGCCAGATTGCAACGTTCGACAACAGCTCCTTCATCGGCGACCCTCTCATGTCATTTTCCACCTCCACCTCCATCTCCCTTCACAACAACACTTCGCCTACCACAGCCGGCCGGCGATCGAGAATCAAAATCGTTTCCATCTGGATCATTCTCCCCTTAGCTGCCGTCATATTCCTCTTCGGCCTTGCCTCCTTCATTCTCTGCCTCGTATTACGGTCCCCTGTTCTCTCTCCTTCAGTAATAGAACCATATCCATACTTTTCTGAAACAGACAGCTTCCTGTTTGAAGGAATCAAGCAACTGCCTCCTTCTACATCACTCTCTCCTTCACATCTCTCCAACAGCTCTCCCGGCGGCGGCGTGAAGGTTTTCCGTCTCGATAAAACGGCCTTCACCTACAAGGACATCGTGTCAGCAACCGGAAACTTCTCTGCTGACATGATAATCGGCTGCGGTGGTTCAGGCGTGGTTTACCGCGGAATGCTCCCGGATGGCCGGCACGTTGCGGTGAAAAAGTTGAGGAGAGAAGGCGTTGAAAGCGAGCGAGCATTCCGAGCTGAGATGGAGGTGCTCGCCGGAGGCCACTCTAATCTCGTGTCCATCTATGGTTGGTGCCTCGCCGGATCAGAGAAGCTCTTAGTGTACGAGTACATGGAAGGAGGGAGTTTGGAGGACGTAATCAAAGATCGCAGGAGATTCGGGTGGGCTCAACGGATGGAGGCGGCGGTGGGGGTGGCTCGCGCATTGGAGTATCTGCATCACCAATGTGTGCCCGCGGTGGTTCACCGTGATGTCAAGGCCAGCAATGTGATGATGGATGGAAACGGGATGGCAAAGGTGACTGATTTCGGGTTAGCAAGGATGATGATGAATGGGGAAACACATGTGAGCACGATGGTGGCGGGGACCGTGGGGTATGTGGCGCCGGAGTACGGGCAGACATGGAGGGCAACGACCAAGGGGGATGTGTATAGCTTTGGGGTGCTGGTGATGGAGCTGGCGACGGGGAGGAGGGCAGTGGAAGAAGGAGGGGAGGAGTGTTTGGTGGATTGGTTGAGGAGGTTGGGGATGGAGGTGGCGATAGAGGAGGTGGAGGGGTGGGAGGAGGAAGAAGGTAGTGAGGCAATGAGAGGATTGATGAGAGTTGGGATGAGGTGCATGGAGGAGTCGCCACAGGATCGGCCGGACATGAGAGAGGTGGTGGTGCTATTGATGAGGATTATGAAGGGTTCGGATTCTGATTGGGATGGAAGTTTGGATCCACCCATGTTAGCTAGATAGTCATTTAATTATAGTTAGTTTTATTGATAGTGAGTTTCGTATTTATTGAACTTATTTTAAGATTGATACAGTATTTAAGATAGTTTATACTGTGTACATGATCTTAAAATGAATTCAATGATTTTGAGATGATTTTAATAAAAATTAAATCAATGTCATATGAGGTTAATTACAAGCACGGTGTACATTGAGATTATAGGGGTAGGCAATGTGATGTAATTTAAATACAAATACAATCATACAATATCATGAAAAATTATTTTGCAGATGTAGACTGAAATGCTTCTGATTTCATGATGATCCAAACGTGTTCATATTGTTTCAGGCTGAGTTCACCAACAAACACCCAAATTAAGTTTGCAGTTATGAGTAATAACTCTCCAGTTGTTATTTCTATGACTGGTTTGATTTCGCTTTCGGGTGTTTGTTTTTTCTTTTTTTTTAAATGTGCTATTTTGGTCAAATTGCTTTGTTGGTGAGAATACTTTATAGCTTTCATTGGCAGCCCCTTGAGGAGAGCATATACTTCATTTGCAAGGAATTCATTTGGTTTGGTTTCTGTAATTTGAAAAAGGAAAAAAGAGACATGGTAGTATGTCCCATCCTTAAAATATAATTTTTAGAAATATTTCAAACGGTGACGTTTTTTTTTTATATATATCTCTACCTGTTTTGGGGAGTATTTACATACAAGTCACCCAATTCTTATGAATTTACATATATTACATTTAAATTTTACTTTTTGAAATATCACCAATTTAACTTTTAAAAAATAAAGGCATCTTTTTCATGCGTAAAAAAAGATTTGTATGTAAAATTAAACTTAAAGTGTTAGATATACAAATATATAAGAATTGAGTCATGCATATTTTCATTTTTTTTT